TGCCGCCGCGGCGGCCGCGACGGCGAGCGGCGCGGCGGCGGCGGCCGCGCGCGCCTCGACCCGGTCGACGAGCGCGACGTCGTCGATGCGGCGGAGCGGCGGCGAGTCGACGGCGAGCGCCGCCGGCGCGACGTCGGCGGACGGCGCCGGCGACGCCGGCGACGCCGGCGCGCCCGAACCGCGGCGCACGTAGCGGAGCTTGCCCGTGCGCAGGTTGCGCTGCGCCATCCGCGCGAGGTCGACGGCGTAGTCGCAGGGGTCCGGGTTGCCGGACCGGAACTTGACGACGCCGCGCGCGCCGTCGCGGGCCCACGCGGCGTCGAGCGCGGCCGCGGCCGCCGCGTCGTAGCGGCGCCAGCCGCCGAAGTCGTCCTCGACCTCCCAGCCGCCGCCGCCGCCGGTCGCGTCGTCGTCGGCGAGCGCGAGCGCCGCGAGCGCGCTCCGATTGACCTCCTTGAGCCGCGACACGTCGGGGTCGAGCGGCGGCCCGAGGTAGGCGCCGGGCACGCAGCCGCGCGCGCCGGTCTCGTCGACGACCTCGGACCAGCCCTGGCCGACGTCGCGTAATTCCGCGACGACGGCGCCGACGCGGAGGCCCAGCTGCCAGGGTTCGCCCGCGTCGAAGGCGTAGGCCGCGGCCCTCAATTCGCAGCGCGCGACGCAGGCCTCCGGCACCGCGCCGACGGCGGAGTTGTCGACGCGCCGCACCTCGACCCAGCCCTCGCTGAGCGGCCGCAGGCGCACGACGGCGTCGTCCGCGGCGCAGCTCAGCTGCCAGGTCGCGGCGCTGTCGTGGGCGCGCACGACGCGCAGGTAGTCCTCCATGGCGCCGCCGCCGCGTCGGTGCGCGCGGTCCGCGCCGGAGCCGCGGCCTTGCCCAGCTTTTCCCGTGGCACAGACTTCATCATGAAAGTCGTTGAACCAACAGAGCTCACATGTTGACGGGGCTCCCATCGTCTCGTCTCTCTTCCGAAGTCTGTGGGGCGCCCGGACGCGGCCGCCATGTGCCTCGACCCGAAGTACGCGGGCATCCCCGTGCCGCGGCAGCGCGACGAGTGGCGCGCTCGCGGCGCCGGAACTGTACACACACCACCGCCCCCTTTCAAACCTCCCGCCCCCCCCCAGGTACGAGGGCGCCCCCAAGGGGATCAACCGCGTCCTGCGGCTCCCGAGCTGCGCCGACTGCCACTGGCGGCTCTACGAGAAGGACGGCAAGCAGGGCGTCTGGCGCATCGACGCGTCCATCGAGGACGTGCAGACGGGGAAGACGGAAAAGTACACGTGGGCGATCCCGCAGTGCATGCTCCACCGCACGGACGAGAACGACGGCCCGGGCCAGGCGGAGATCGAGCTCGACGTCCACAAGTACATCCGGGACCGGCTGGGCATGTCGTCGGCGCGCTACTTCACCAAGGACAAGGGCATCAACACGGGCCTCCCGATGGCGGACTTTGGCTACAAGCAGATGCTCGACGAGAACGGCTTCGCGCCGGGCATGTTCGGCTACAAGAAGCCGGGCCAGAAGAAGTACGGCTACGGCAAGCGCGAGATCTACGAGGAGGAGCCCCCGAAGCCCAAGCACCACGGCTGGCGCGAGTGAGCGCCGGGGAGGCGCGGCCCGCGCGCGCGCGGCGGGGCCGGCGTAACGCGGGACGTTTCGGCGCGCGCGGCGCGCGCGCGACGGCGGCCCCCGCGCCGGCTGGGGCGGCACGGCGAGACAATTACGTTGAAGTACACATTGAAGCCGTGCAGGAGCACTCGCTTCTTCGAAGCGGTCGTGCTCTCAAGCATGCTCTGTCGTCGACGCGGCTAGTGGACGTGCCTCCTGCGACCGCGTCACGTTGCTGCAACCACGCGCCGCGACCGCGCGCTCGCGATGATGCAGCGCGCGTTGTCGTCGTGCGCCAGAGGTGACGCGCGCGCGCGGCTCCTCTCCGAGGCGCACGGTCGAAAGCCGACGTGGTAAGTTTAAGAGGTACTTAAGCTTGTCACCGTAGGCCGTCGCCGAGGTCGGCGAAGGGCGCGGCGGACGCGAGCTGGGCGCGGACGTCGGCGAGGGTCATGCGCCGCGCGTAGCCCGGGCGGATGCAGGGCGCGTGGCCGAGGTCGCTGCAGTCCGCGCGGGGGTTGCAGAACGTGAAGTTGAGGAAGAAGCGCTGGTCGCCGCGGTCCGCGAGGTTCGGCTGGCCGCAGTGGAGCACGCGCATGTCGAAGATCGTGACGTCGCCCGGCTCGAGGACGCCGTCGAAGACCCGCGCGCCCTCGAGCGCCGCGCGCTTCGCGGCGCCGCCCGCGTCGAAGCCCCGGCGCGTGCCGTCGCCGAGCGCGTGCGTGCCCGGCAGGAAGAGCGTCGCGCCCATCTCCCGCGTCACGCGCTGCAAGCCACGAAGGCCGTGTAGAGCGGCGGCCGCTCCTGGAAGGGCGTGTCCCAGTGCACGGGCTGCCGCGGCGACCCGCGCTCCGTCCGCAAAGCGTTGAAATCGTAGAATTGGGCGTCGTCGCCGCCGCACGCGCGCTCGAAGACGTCGCCGAGGGGCGACCCGCTCGCCAGGAGGCCGCGCAGGCCCGCGTGGCACCGGGGCTCGTCGAGAGGCGTCAGCAGGAACGACCGCAGCGGCCGCTCGGCGACGTCCGAGTGGAAGCGGCGCCGGTTCTCCCGCCGCGCCTCCGCGTCGCCGGCCTCAGCCGCGGCCGCGCACGCCGCGCGCGCGGCCGCGAGGTCGTCGACGACGTACGCCCGCAAATCCGCCGCGGTCTCGCGCGGTATCGCGCCCTCGATCTTCAGGACGCCCGCCTTGCGGAGCGCGCGCCACCGCGCCGAGGCCGCGGCCGCCGCGGCCGCGGCCGCCGCGTCGCCCGCCGCGTCGGTCGCGCCGGCGAAGCCCGCGCCGCGCCGCCGCTTCGCCTTCGCCTTCGACTTCGGCTTCGCCGCGAGCGACGGCGCCGGTAGGGCCGTCACGCGGCCCTCGAAGCACGCGCCCTCTTCCTCCGCGGCGACGGCCATCGCCTCCCGCTGCGCCTCGAACAGGATCTCGCCCGGCGTGCTCGCGCGCGCCGTCCGCCCGGGGCGTCCATGCAAGGTCGGGCGCAGGCCGAAGCCCCTAGCGCACGCGAGCCCCAGGAGGACCGCGCATTGGCAGCGCATGCGCAGCTGCACAGGTGTCCGACGAGCCCGAGCCGCTCGTGGGACGAGTGGAGCGGGAGGGTTGCGGCGCACGCCCGAAGCAATTGCAAGCCAGGAGCAAAAACGCGTCGTCCCGACGGGATCAGTCTCGTGGAGCGGAGGAACGGCGGGAGGCTGCGCGCACGCCCGAACAGCAAGCCTGCTGGACTGGACGCGTTTGGTCGAGCCTTGGATTTTCACCCGTCTAGACGACTGCACCTTCGTGGTGCGCACTTCAAGTTTGTCGTTATTGAAGTGTATATCGCGCATGAGCAAAGGGATATAAATCTAGAGTACTATTAAAAATTAAAAATTTTTTTTTATTACCCCTTGGCTCGAGCTTCATTCATTCGCCGCCGCCCGGCTACTTCTGGGAATGCCCACTGGCAGCCCCGGCCGCGCCGCGCAGTCTCGAAGCAACACCTCGCGGTGATCTCTGCAATGCAACGCGCGCCCGCCATGCAACGCGCCACGCGGTCGGCCTCCGGCCGGCCGCTCCGGCTGGCCCTGCTGTGCTTCCAGGTCTTGAGCGCCGCCGCCGCCGGCGTCACGAACGTCGCCGGCGCGACGCTCGCCTTCCCCGACGCCTGCGACGACCTCGACTGCACGCTCACGCTCGCCGGCACCGAGGTCGAGCTGCCGGCGGCGACCTTCTGAAACCAACCGAAGAAGCCCATATCACGTCATATCGCGTCGTGTCATATTTCACTTCAACAATAATTATTACCTCACACTCCATGACCTCGGATGACTTCGAACCTTCCCGGAGCTTGCCGAGAATCGAGCCACTGCCGCCGCCTGCTGCCGCCACCCAAAACATCATGATGAAATGCACGCTCTTCATCGCCGTCGTCCTCTCATCCTTCACGACAGCCGGCGCCGCCGCCGCGAAAGCTTCGCTCCGAGCGTCGCGCACGCTTGAAGAAGACTGCAATAGTCAGCGCCTTTGAAGCGAGCCTTGAAGCTGAGCCCGAAATACCTTGCTCGC